AAAAAAAATCACTTTCATGGACAATTTCCATGTAAAACAAAGACAAACGAATAGAAAATTTAAAAATTTTCTGGATGGAAAATTATACCAATCAAACACACTTGAAATCATTTTCTCTGCAAAACATTTTCTAGGGAAAACTTTTCCCTGTAAAACGTTTTATTTCCACCCATTTTCCACCCTTGCAATCAAACGCACCCTAAGTTTATTCTTATGGCATTGATTGAGACTAACATTGTCTCCTTTAGCAATAGGGATATCACATAATTTATCACAAATCTTTTAAGAACTTTATCGATATGAGAAGTGATACATGTACATAAATCTATACATAATGGTGTCTATAATTACACGTGGCACTGGATCCAGCCATTAATTCAAATCTCACACTTTCACATCAACAACAGGATTTTGTCCACATATCATTATGGACACTATTATGTACATATATTATGTACTTGTAGACTTTTTCTATCGATATAGCTCTGTTATGATAATTCAAAAATATCCTAAGAATGATCAGAGTGGATCTATATCCCTAACACAAAAGAAGTGTCACCAAAATCTTTCATTTCAAAATTTCATGACAAAAATCTCTTGATTTCATGCAATAAACATATATCATTGTGAGCAAGCAGTGTGTCATCACATACAATACCAGAAAAATATGCTTACTCCCACTGAATTTGTGATATACACAACCATCAACTACATTCATCTCAAAATCAAATTATATAATTATTTGATGAAATTTGTGTTGCCATTGAGGAGAAACCTGTTTAATTAAGATCATAGATTGATTTCTTTAATTTGTAAACCATCTAATGTAGCTCAAGATCAAACTATGACATAAGTGTTATAATAGGTTTAAAAGAGTCTTTCATAGAAACTGAAGAGAATGTCTCTTTAAAGTCAATGCCTTCCTTTTTAGTAAAGTCGTTTGTAATAAAACGAGCTTTATATCATTCCACATCATCCTTTAAATCCCTCTTGATTTTAAATATTCATTTACAATCAATGGGCTATGTACCTTCATACAATGGGACGAGGTCACAAACGTCGTTGTCTTTCATAGACTTTATCTCTTTATTCATAATATCAATCCACTCTTGAAAATTATTCTTTACATTGTTTGATGAAAGTTGATTGGATCTTCTTCCACTAATCTAGTGCCATCCTTATTTTCTTAGGAAAACACTATAAAGTGTTTCGAAATTACCTTTCTCATTTTTCTAATGGATCTCCTTAATGACATTTGTTCTTGAGGTTAATGAGTTTGTTCTCTTAGAACAATATCTTGATTGTGTATAGGAATTTTGTAATATTGTCTTGATTCCAAATTGCTTCTTGAAAAGATTTGGAGCAAGTATTTGTCTCTGGTCCTAATTATTATCAATTGCATTAAAAGGGATATATACTTATCCTTTCTCAAAATCAAAATCCATAATCTTAAAACCATCTCCCTCCCTCCCTCCCCCCCCCAAAAAAAACTCCACATTCTCAACTGACGATTCTGGAGTCAAGTTTCCTTTTATTTGTTCTATAAGGCCCTACCTCATCTGGACAACCTTAAACGTGCAAGTATTTCAAATTAGGCATCTTGCATGTCCAAAACTCATAAGGGGTTTTCACAGTTGCTTTATTTGGAAATTTAATGAGAAAGCTGCAATATTTAGTGCTTATTCCATGATAGATTCTGGTAAGGTGGAATGACTAATCATACTCATTACCATGTCTTTAAGTATTTTGTTTCGCATCTCAGCAACACCATTCATGTTAGAGGACTCGACATGGTGTACCATGGGACGATTTCACTTTTCTCTAGAAATTTAGCAAAAGATATTGAACGTTGTTCTCCTGATCTGTCATATCTGCCATAGTATTCACCACCACCATCAAATTGACATGTTTTATTCTTTTGTTAAGTTCATTTTCAATCTCAACCTTGTAAGCCTTGAACATGTCCAATGATTGAGATTTCTCATGAATGAGATACGGTTAACCATAACGATAAAAATTATCTATGAACATAATAAATTATTGTTAATCATTTCAAGAAACCGAAGGGGCCTACAGATATCCATATAAATTAGTTCTAAGACATCCAAAATCTTATAGGCACCAAATCTCCTTATATTTGTTTGTTTCTCCTTAATGTAATTAATATAAACACTTAAGTAAGAAAAATTAAGGAGATCAAGAATTCGTTCAGACACAAGATTTTTCTTTCTCTTTTGAGATATGTGACCCGATCACTTATGCCATAACGAAGCGAAATTTTCATTGATTAATTTATGTAACGTCCTGACTCGTATGGACTGAAACGTCACTAGAACAATTGTACCTTAGTTTTATACTTGAAAATTTTTTAAATAATAATTTAATTAACTATGCTTTTAGCGGAAAATATAAAATTTAAATTTAAAACTTTAATTAAGAATTATTTTTTTATTATAACATACAGTTTACTATTAACAAAAACTACCAATGAATTTCTCATGAGAAAACTACTTTCGGACAATAACATAATATTAACATAATTCCAAAAGAAATGACAAAAGAAAGAAAGTGCTAAGCAAATCCATGCATATGCCTATTTTATTACGTGAACAATGTACAAATTTACCAAATAAATAAAATGATTTGAAAGTTTTCCATGCATGAACCACTTTAGGCAGTAAGAAAATAATTTGTTGGCAAACATTGCAGAAGTGAAAGAATTAACTAAACGGAGAACTTAAACCTAAACATGTTCACACGTGAATCCTTATTAGACAATCAATAGATTCAAATAATGGTGGGCCACATTGCAAAAGACCGAGCACAACACTGATGTTTAGTCTTTGGACATAAATATCAACTTGTAAGTACTCTTAATATAATAATCAAATATTGATAATAAACTATGTCAAATAATAAATCTATCTTTAGATCGACTTATTATTCACATAAAGAAACTTTATAATTGTCACAAATTTACCTTCATTTGGGTCGGTGAATGTCCGCATGAATTATATACATACAACATTCCTAATATTCCAAATAAATTAATTTACACAAGAGGTTACTTTGGTAAAATGTTTCAATTAATCTATTTTAGAAAATTAGTAATTTAAAAGAAACTTCAAGTATCAAGATTTGAAATTGAATGCCCCTTCTTTTTATTTTTATTTTTGCTTCGAAAAAAATTGAGTAGTAACATGGCGTCGCAACGTGTCGTGCTATTGGAGAAGCTGAAAAGCAGCGCCACGGTGTCCAAATGCAACACTGCAACGATACAGTAGATTCAAAAAATCTCAATTTTAAAATTTAGGGCTAAAATTCACATCCCAAAATTTAGAAATCCAAAATACGAATTTCAACCCTAAAATTCTTTCTTGAATTTCAATGGTTTACCATGAAGTTAGCCCTTATACCACTTGTTAGAATTTTATGAAACTTTAAATTTCAAGAGCTTGAAAATCTAGTTACTTCATTGTTAAGATCTTAAGTCTAATCACCTAAAGAATTATAAAGTGCAAAACATATTTTGATCCATTGGGAATGATTATTTAATACCGAATCTCGATTCTAAATCTTGAATTGGGTGTTCTTGATTACAAATTCTTGATTTTAATTGCTTGTTCTTAATTATTGATTGTAGATTTTGGATCTTCTTCAATATATTTTCTCATGATATTCTTGTGTTGATGGGATGAAACAAAGAATGAGAATCACATATGAATTAAGGATCATAACCTATTTATAGTTTCCACATGTATTTCAATCTTCCAAGAAAATACAACCCTAATGAATCCGATATCTACATATATATAAGCTTACGCTTTATTTAAATGTCCAAAACCCATAACTTTAATTATTTATTAGATCACTTTAAATGAATTTAACATTAAGATAACTTTTATACACAACTAATTAAGCTCGCGTGACAAATTAAAACCCAACAAGAAGACTACTAACACTTCAACTTTACTATCGGCCTTTGCCCATTAAGGACTCGATTGCCTAATTTTTAGGGCAGCCGAGAAGTACAATTTCCCCTATCTTTCTACCAGGCCCACCCAACAAGGTACGGCTCAGCCAAATAAGGTAAGCGCCCAGCGCAAGCCTTTTCTTTATTAATTTAGCGAAGTCAAGCAGGGATCATGGACACTGGCTTTCTGAAAAACAGTACATAATCAACACATGGTAGGCATTCAGTTTCATTCCAGATCTGAATCAAATTTTATTCATACTAGACCTATCTATTTGAAATCAAGTGATCATGTTATTGCAACCCTTGGCAAATCAAATAAATCTCTCGAGAACACGATCTAGTTGCTTTAGGTCTCAACCATGATGCCTTCCGGAAGAGTGGATTGCAAATCTCTCTGAATTCTGTAAGCCAAACAATAGGTCTCAGCTCCAACACAAAAATCAACATAAAACTTCCCCAGCAGAATGAACACTAACCTTTAATATATTCACTTTCCAGAAGTTTAACGATGAGGTGACCCCCAGGTCGTAGCACACCACAAGTAGAGCTATCAGAATCTGCTGCTACTGGCACATTATTTTCTGAATGAGCTGGTAAAACAGCCCTTCCAACTGCCAGATCAAGAGCTCTCATTCCAAGTTCAGAAGATAAAGCTGCATCTCTACTAGTGATTCCAGTAACTAGTGGACACATATCAGAGAGTATCACAGAAAACCCTTTTTTCTGCAAAAATAGGAACTAAATATATCAGCTTCTTTATTGAGAGGGTCATATAACAAGAGAGTTGGTTTGATCAGAAAGTCAGTTAATGTTTTAACTTTTTTCTAAAGAAAATTATATGGTTAAGAAGCCAACAAAAATTCAAGATACATGAAATATGAGAAGTTCCCAAACTTCATCACATTATGTTTTGGACTTTGATTATCCATATAATACTGCAAATAAGGTAAAGTAAAAATAAATAAAAATTTCACAAAAATCAACAGGAAATTGAACCAGACGGTGAGCAACAATACATCTACCTAGCTCACAAGCATGAAATACTTCCATTAAAAGAGATGGACAAATTTCCCAGATCCATTTACTCCAAAATAACTGGAAAAATAGCTCACTAGCCTATATAGTCATCATATATAACTGCCAATACATTTCTTTCCAAACTAGAAGAAATATAATTCAACTCTTTAAAATTAAAGATCGTAATCTCTAACTGCTTTGCCTTCATAAGAAATTATAAGGTGCAGTGAGATTGTACGTACGAGGGTTGAGTAATACATATCTTCTCCATGGCATCTTAGGTAAGTAATTGTTATACTTACAGCTCCTTGGCTAAGAATATCATGGGAGATGGGAAACAAAATTTAACTGCGATGATAAAGAATGGAGTGTGAGAGTCGGAGTTGAAAAGAGGTGATCAATAAGCACAGTAGATTGCTGAAAAACGGATATTATTATAGAATTCCATGGTACATTTGACAATAACATGTGTAGTAAGAAAACAAAAATTTAATGACCGATATTTGTTACTACAGTATGCAAAAGGTGAAAAAAGTAATGTGATCCTGGGAAACTAAAAAGGACGAGAGTGCACTTATTTAAGTAATTGATATACATACTATGAAAATTTGTCAAAACAGCATTAGGAAACGAGTCCAAAGAGTATGAAGTAAATTCCCATGATCCTTTTCTCCGTAACTGATCAAAGCTTGAAATTGTTGATAATTAGTCAAGCATATGGCCTCCTCATTTCAGAACTATTGCAAAAGGTATTGCTGAATGTTGTGATGTTCTTGCTATGACTAGACTGCTTAATGTTGAGTTCTCAGTTTAAAAGTTGAAGATTTCAAACTTAAGCCAACCGACATCTTCTAGCAGTATCATGCATTTCAAATTGGGATGGTATATCGTTTGGCAATAAAATTTGTAACTGAAACGCATGGTATGCTCTAAATCTCGAAAGGGCTGCAAACTTGAAAGCAAGTTTCTCAGTTTGCAGAAAGTGTGTTTTCCACCATCCTTAGTTTCTAGATTGATGCGATATGAAATACACAACTCTAGTTGGTTTATTGAATAAACTGATTCCAGTATAAATGTATTTTTGCAGTAAATGATTAGCAATCGAAATCCATTTCATGAAAAAAAAAACGTAGAAAATCCACGTTATATTCAATATTTTATTTTTTGGCCTCCTATGTGTCAAAGGATATTACAGTTACCTTTAGGTGGACATTAATTTTCCATTGATTGTGCAGCACATTAATTTTCCTTAAACAGTACAGCTCTGTAGCTTCATTGTAAAGCTGTATTCTTTCCATACTTAGGTAATAGGCAGCTGTAGATATCTCTGTATATGGTAAGTAATTAATCTAGGAGCTAGAAATCAGTTGTATTTTGATCTATATAATGGAAGGGTCTGAACCAAGACATACAGATTTCACAAATATCTCTAACGTGGTATCAGAGCCACTCCTTTGAACTGTGCTCGTGTATTCTGTTGTGCTCTTCTAGTGCATCATCACAATCTTCTTGGCCTTTCTGAGTTTCTTTGGAGTTTTCGACATTTTCTTCATCTGGGCGGCTGTCGGAATCTGCCTTCTGGCTATTGGTAATATCTGTTGCCATCTTGGTAATTTCCATAAGTCAAAGCTTTCAAGTTTTTCTTTGACACCACAAAGTGTTCCTATCACGTCTTATGACCAGTACGATGCATTCATGGTTCGTTTTAATGGCAAGAATTATTCAGCTTGGCATTTCATTTCAAGGTTTTTGTCAAAGGGAAAGACGTGGGGGCATGTAGATGGAACTCTTTCTCCTCCCGACAAAGAACAGAGAAAAAGACCAATATGCTAAATGGGAAGTCAAGGATGCACAGGTTCAGTCATGGATCCTCGGTTCAGTTGAGCCACATATTATTCTCAATCTCAGAACTTATCAGACAGCTGCTGATATGTGGACATATCTAAAAAAACCCTACAGCCAAAATCACACAGCCAGTCGTTTCTAGCTTGAGTTCGAGCTCTCCAATCTCACCCAGGGGAATCTCTCTTTGATTTTTACTCTAATTTCAAGAATCTATGGCATGAGAATACGGATATTATCTATGCTAGTCTTCCTCTTGAGGGCCTTGCTACAGTCCAAACTCTTCATGAAACAAGTAAGCAAGATCAATTTCTCATGAAACTGCAATCTGATTTTGAAGTCACCCGCTCCAGTCTCATGAACCGTGACCCAGTTCCCTCTTTAGATGCATGCATGAATGTTCTACTTTGAGAAAAGCAGCGTATGCTCACTAAAAATACCATGGAGCACCATATCTCTGCCACTCCAGTGGCCTATGCAGCTCAAGGAAAGAACAAAGGAAGGAATATGAGTTCTGTCCAGTGCTATTCCTGTAAGGATTTTGGACATTATGCTTCACAATGCTCCAAAAAATTCTGCGATAATTGTAAAAAGACAGGACACATCATCAAGGACTGCCCTACTCGACACCCCAAGAAATCTGAAGCATCCTACCATGTCTCGGTTGCCTCCTCTTGTGCTTCCAGCTATGTGGAACCAACTTTTCCAACACAAAATGTTCCTGCTCCTAGTCAGTCTCTCACCCCAGAAATGGTATAACAGATGGAACAAATGATAGTTAATGCTTTCTCAGCTTTTGGCCTTTCAGATAAACCCTTTTCAACTTCTCAGCCATGGTATTTTGACTCTGGAGCCTCCCATCATATGACAAATACTGCTGCCTCCCTGTCCAATCTACAAAAATATTCGGGTAACCTTAGAATACATACTGCCAATGGCAGTTCCTTGCCTATAACTGCTACTGGTGATGTTTCTCCAACTATAACAGATGTTTTGTCTCTTCTAGCCTTACTTCTAACCTTGTATCTGTTGGGCAATTAGTTGAAAATAATTGCAAAGTCGAATTTGTTCAATCTCGTTGTGTTGTACAGGATCTAGCATCCAGAAAAATGATCGTGAGGGGCATAAAGTGGAGCGTCTCCTTCCTCTCCAACTACCTCCTTGTCCATGTTTGAATTTTGTTACTTGTAATTCAGTTCAAGTTAAGAATCACATGTGGTATAGGTGTAGGACATCCAAATTCACATGTACTTTATCAATTGTTACATTCTGGTTTGCTTGGAAATAAAGAATTGCCTTCTCTTAATGCTGTCAAATTTAAGTGTAACCCTTGTAGATTGGGGAAAAGCAAATCTTTGCCTTTTCCACCTCGCACCTTTCATCTCATCCTTTTGAACTTACACAGTGACGTTTGGTGTATGTCACCCGTGTCCTCTACTGCCCAATACAATTACTTTGTGACTTTTATCAACGATCATAGTCAATTCACTTGGATTTAATTCCTTCGTTCTATGGGTGAAGTCTTTTTTGTGTTCAAGTTGTTTCATGCCCATCTTGAGACTCAATACTCAGCTAAAATCAAAATTTTGCGTTCTGATAACGGGGTGAATACACGTCTACCATTTTTCAGGAATTCCTTCAATCTCACGAGACCATTTCTCAACGATCTTGTCCTTCCACACCTCAACAAATTGGTGTGACATAGAGAAAGAACCGTCACCTACTCGATGTGGTTCGCACTCTTTTACTTGAATCCTTTGTCCCTTCTCGATTTTGGTATGACGCTTTGACCACAGCTGTCCATTTGATAAGTCGAATGCCTTCCCCTTCTTTGAATAATGAATCTCCTTTCTTTCGTTTATTTGGTATAATCCTGATTATTCTAACTTTCGTGTTTTTGGTTGTAAGTGTTTTGTCCATTGAAGCCCTCATGAACGTACTAAACTCATTGCTCAATCGTCCAAATGTGCATTTCTTGGATATTCAGTTCATCAAAAAGGATTTGTTTGTTACAACCCTCATCTTCGTTGTAATCGTATCTCCAGAAAGGTTTTTTTTTATTTTTGAAAACCAGTACTTATTCACAACTAATAGGGGGGCCATATTTATCCTTCATTTTCTGCTTTACCTAATTTTTCTGACTCGACTGCAGCTCAAGACCCTCCTAAACCTCTTTTAGTGTATCAGAGACAAAACCCACCTGTAGAACCTACTATTCCAGCCCATCCAATGCCCCCTCCTGATCACTCCTCAGCCGCTGTTCCTGTTCAAGAATTAGCCAGTGCATCTACCCATCTTGGGCACAGTACCTGCGTGAGTCGTCATCCAAATAGGTATGGTTTCACCCCTCCTTTATCTTTGGCTGCAACCTTATCTTCCATTTCTATTCTCACTTGTTACAAACAGGCCATGGAACATGAGGGTTGGCAGAAAGCTATCGAAATAGAGCTTCAAGCACTAGAAGAAAATTGGACATAGGAGATCGTTCCATGTCCTCCCTCTGTAAAACCTATTGGGAGTAAGTTGGTCTTTTCAGACAAGCTTCACTCTGATGGTTCCTTACACCATTACAAAGCTCGTTTGGTAGTCCTTGGTAACAAACAAGTACGGACTCAATTATGACGAGATTTTTGCCCCTGTTGCCAAAATGAGTACTGTAAGGACTATTCTAGCCATCGTCGCCTCTCAATCATGGCAATTACATCAATTGGACATCAAGAATGCGTTTCTTAATGGCAATCTCGAGGAAGTTTACATGAAACTTCCATCGGGTATGCCTATCTCCTCTGCACGATGTGTGTAAACTCTATAGAGTGAAGCAGGACCTCACACTTGGTTTGAAAATTTTCGAAACACACTGCTTC